GGCTGAAACATGCCGTAGAGGCGTGCTCCACGTGAAATGTTCCGCCTACCATGGATAGACTGTATGACAGGTGAGTGAACTTGCGAATCAGCAACGTTCCAAGACCACCATTTTTTCTATTTCTAAGATTTTGATTTGCGGAACTGAAATCTAGTGTGCTTAGCTAAGGGTTGGGCCGTATGCGTCGTATGCTGCGTACGCCTCATATCTTTCTGCACGCTGTATACGGTACACCGCGCAGGCTGGGCCCACCCTAAATAAGCATATTGATCGCTAAAGTAAGTACAGTTCACAAACGACTACATCAGTAATCAGTCACTTTCAGTTATAAAAGGCTCAAAAAGAAGGGGCACGAGGTAGTTAGTTGAAAATGCAGAAAACGAAGTCTCCCCTTTGCTTTTGCGAATTTGTACGAAGTCCCCTTTGACACTAGACCATACTAAAAATCTCCAAAAACGAATTATCGACCAAAAAAAACGTCGCCAATTTTGTGTCTCTTCGGCCACAAAAACGAAACCCCCTTTGCTTTTTGTCCCAAAAACGATGTCGGCTTGCTTGTAAGCCACCTATGCCGAGCCCTGGAAATGCATACAGTAATAGACCAATCTGAGCTTCTATTTATGTCACTTGAACGTATCTCTTCAGTCTAATCAACAACCCTTGAACCTGTAAACGGGGACGCTTTCCGTAATATGCGATTTGAACAGTTTTGAAATTCTCACCCGTTCAAATTATAGCAAGGGTTCGGTAGTAGGGATAAGGACTTTGAGCTTTTTTAGCGAGTTTATTGTAATGATTTTGCTTTTTGAAACACTTGGTTATTTAAGCAAACTACTGAATTCGCGCCTTTCCTGCGCAAGTTCAGATCTCAGTTTTTGGAGACCGGTCCCATTCATCGCAAAGAACGTATGAGCCAGTGGTTGTCCCTTTTCGATAAGCTGAGCTATGTTGAAGGTTCAAACAGGAAACAACGGGTGAGGGAAATTATCTACCCAAACACTTGCCGCGGCGTAGTCATGGAGGTCATGAACTGTCAGCAACGCTAATTAGCACCCCATTTGCACCGTAACAGAGCTGATTACTGCACACAGTAGCTTGTTCTCATCCTATGTATCCTGTTACATGGAACCTGTATCTGGAATTTCGAAAACAAAGTTCTGGTAAGATTTTTGTCCGATTAGGTTGAAAATTGGTATTTAGAGGTTTTCAATCACAGTATTCCCGAATATGCTTGTGATTTTGCTTGAAACCTCAATTCTACTTGAACAAATCTATATATATATATATATATATATATATATATAACTCAATGTCTGTGAGGATGTTCGTTTAGTTGTTCGTTCATTATAGAAACGCCAGCCATTGAACCGATTGAGCTGAAACTTCGCACACATATGTTTTCGGCCCCGGCGGTGGTTTATGGCTACTTTTTGAGGCGATTCGCAGGGTCCTTCTATTGATTTATTGATTTGTTTACTTGAATCTGGGAAAATGAAAGCTAGACGTGCTCCAACCAATCATTTTCCAATAAACATGTAAGTAGGGGTAGTAAAGTTCATTCTGATCTCAAGGTCGACAAGATGCAGCGGGTTCGTCACAAAGCGCTTTTTGCGCATTGTAAAATCAGAAAGTGTAAGTATGATCAACTCCCAGATTCGTGTGGAGGCGGGTGCGGACTTTGCTGGTTTTAAGGAAAGCTCAAGGAGAAAGTACGAAATACAATGCTAAAACGTGGAGGTTTAACAAGTTTGTTCTGAAAATCAAGGAAGTGCGCAACCCTCCTCTACACGAATCTGGGTGCCCATGACATTTTGGTGGGTAGGGAACGAACTCCTCCAATTTGAGCCCGCCTTTGCTGGCAACTGGTCCTTTTGAAATATTGTTGTTTGTGGATGCAGGACCAGTAGTCCGCGAAGATGTTTCAAACTGGCGGATTTCGTTCCTTTACCCCATCTTGGTTGAAGTAAAAGTCTCGGGCGAGACCGGGTTATCAGTTAGTTTCTCAATAAATTTCACTACAGTTTGAAGAGGTACTATCTAGGGCTTTCTGTCGTGATGTTTCCAAATATGCTGGTGTTTTTGCACAAAACCTGAAACTTCAAACAGATTTCCATTCTAGGACGAAGGTATTTTCAAATTTGAAAATTTGCCAAAGCTTCAACTTCTTATTTTCTAAGTCTAGAGTAGCGGTGGAACGTAATATTTTACTCGGGTTTGGAATCAGCTGATTTGTTTCAAGCATAGCATTTTTCTCCGTTTGTTTTCCAATCCTTCCATTTTTTCGCCAAAGTACATGAAAAAGTTCATGTTTCAAAGGGATAAAAAGGTTAAAGGTTTTGGCAAAACCACCAGCTTGTTTGGAAACACCGTGATTGAAAATTTCGAAGTACTCATTTTTAACCTGATCGGACAAACTTACCCGAACTTTGATTTCGGAACTCCAGATTAATTCAGGTTGCGTGTATTACAGGATACCATGGGATGAGAACAAGCTACTTTGTGCAGTAATCAGCTCTGTTATGATGCAAATGGGGTGCTAATTAGCGTTGCTGGCAGTTCAGGACCTCCATGACTACGCCGCGACAAGTGTTTGGGTAGATAAGTTCCGTTCTCCGGAAACTATTCTACTTCTCCAGTTTTTTTGCACGCGATAAAATGTTCGACGTGATAAATCAAAATCTTATGCGCTTTGTGGGCTCTGACGAAGGCAAAAACGTGGGGGGGGGGAGTCAAAACGTCAACTGAATAATGGTTCAAGGGTGGTGGCTGCTATACCAACCAGCATCTATAACGATATGCATTACATTACGCATGATTTACCTTTCGAAGAGAGCCATTTTTGACTGAGACCTATTTTGCAGTGCACGAGAAGTGGTTGAAACACTTGGTGCGGCAAGAGTAAAGTTTTCTTTGAATGAAAGCAAACGGCCAGGAGATATGGAGTTGACTATTCTGGAAACTTTATGAAATGCTTTTCTACTTCTATTCTTCTTCTTCTTTTCTATTTTGTAACTCTGTGAAACATCTACTACGAGCTTTTTTCCATGTAGAAAACTATGCGAAAACATTTTCTCTGTAACGCATCCTTTCTGTATTAATTTCAGAAAGCTTTTACTCAATAAGTCACTATCCATTCTGGTAAACTTTAGACCTTCTCCAACTGCCTGAAATTAGGGATCGGTAGTGTTGCCTTGGTCTTAGCAATCAGTCTGTTAGATTTTGAGGTTTAGCTAGACAAATAGCCATCACACTTCAAACGAGCAGTGTTGGAGAGCCTTGTATATCCTGGGTCGAAAAGGATGCCAGTTCTAGAGTCATGGGTCAGCATATTGTAGATTGCTGCTGTTTTGAACACTTTCAACGGTTAATAAAATAGTGGAGTTTATTTTGTAGATGTTTTCCCAACTCAAATCATCCACAAGCCTTACCCTCCTATCGTTTACGCCTAAATAAACTAAAACTGCAGAGTCTGAAATACAGACGCGTTGTAAATGATCTCATTTTGTGTTTTCGAAATCTGCGCTTGAAAATAAGACTCAAAGCTAGCATTTTGGATATCCAGAACGTGCAGTGAACGAACAGGTAGGTTTGGTTTACGTTACCGAAAATTGGGAAGAAAACGATTTTTAATGACGTTCAACTCTTTCATTTGTCAAACAACCAGATGGTTTTCTCTTCTTTCGGATTCAAAAGAAGATTACAAAACATCAATGTACTCTAATTACTTGATAACTGTGACTTTTTAGATGTCTCGTGTACTAATGTGCCACCCACGCTTGTTCCAAATCGCCCTCCATACCTCGCCAAGCCGTACATAACTCGCCAACTGTCCATACCTGCTCAATCACCCCCACTTCGTTAAGTCGCATACTTCGCAAGTTTTATACCTCCCCAAAACGTCGGCTTATCGTTAAGTTGTCAACTCCACACCATGCCGTACATACCTCGTCGAGTCGTCAGCGCAGTCTATCTAGCCCACTCCATTTATTTATTTATTTATTTATTTATTTATTTATTTATTTATTCAATACGCACAAGGCGTGCCATATTTGAAACAAAAAAATTATTATATTATAATTTATCAATGTCGATTCCTCCTTTCGGACAGTCTAATCAAAACAGATTGAATAGATATCAACTACTCAATTATGTATCTCATTGTCATTAACTTTGACCAGGCATTGCCAACAATCATACCAGCTCGTCTCGGGTACTTGATTTTACTTCTCATTTTCACTGCACTCAACTCTTACATTGCCCAAGGTCGGTTCTGCGCCGATGCTATGCTCACATTCTTGACTTGCCGGGCCGTCCAACTGGCACGCTAATTTAAAGTCTTGCTGTCCTCCAAAATCCACCTTTGTCTGGGTCTAGTCAGCTAGTTTCCGCCCGTAGGCTCGCTGGTGCTCAAAAAAAGGGTGCTAAAAATAATTCTGGAGCATGCAAGATTCTAAAGTCGTATTCTCATTGTCAAATGGATATCGGCATTAGGTTGTGGTTCGCCTATAGGTTCACCGTTTATCTCGCTGAAGCCTTGAACAAGCTGGTATTTAATTTTGCTCGCTGTGTTTGAATTTTCTTTTTCTTCTTCCTTGTTTGGTGCACCCTGAATGTATTGGTAAAATAAAATAAAATAAAGTGGAATAAAATTCAACTTGAGAATTGCAAACGGACAGGACTTATGCAGCCTGATAGATGTATTCAAAGCACTCAAACTTTGCTTCGCGATACAATTATAGACTGTTTGCTATTGAAACAAGTCAAGCCTTTCTATGTATTCTAAATCCAAATTTAGAGTAGATTCAAATCTTGACTACTGTATTTCATTAGCCTCTGAAGAGCATTTTCACAGCTCTTGCCAGATTGAATCCCAATTGCTCCTGCCAGAGAAGCTCTAAGCTTCACTGGAATTCGCAATTACAGGCGGGTAGTTTGTCATACGCATTGACAGAAGTAATATAAAAATGTTTTTCACATAATCGCTTACTGCCGAAAATCACCTTCCTCATCTCTTGATTTTCTTGGAAGTGCGACAATTAGAACGATAGCGACAATTAGAATGATAGCGAGAAGAACCAATAATAGTACAATACCACCTCCAATGCTCCGCTTGCGAACTTTGTCAACTGCACCTAAAACACTTTTTTGTTTTCTCTACCATCCTGTTCTAAGTCAGTGTAATATAAGGGAAAAGCACAAGAAATTTGCATTACATACAATATGTTCAACAGTCCATGGTTTGAGTAATGTTCAAAATGGACCACGTAATCATCTCAGTTTTTGTGTTTTGTTTAATAAGTATCTGTTGCATTTCTTCTCTATCTCTTGCTGAGTTTTGCATAGTACGGTCTGATATATTAGGTTGTCCCGAAAGTTCGTTCGCACCATTTTCAAAAAATCATAACTTCTGATTTTTCCAACCGATTTGACTGCTTTCATATCTATATGAAAAAGTAAACCATGGTCTTTATAAAGACATCTTAGCTGCTTGCTAATGATCATCTATTGCATAGATAGGAGCGATAGAAGAAAAGCAGCCAAATTCGAATTTTCTATGTAGGGTCATAAATAATCGGAAACTTGCAACAAAAATCGGAGCACTCAGTATTGTAGGTTCTGTTACCTGCTCTTTTCTAACTGTGCAAAGTTTGCGCCGATTGAGCTTCTCTATGAAAAGTTATGATTTCCCTGAAAAATGCCAAAATAAATCAAATTCGCTCTTTTGTATTGCTTGCTCGAAAATCATAACTTTTCATAGAGACGCTCAATCGGCGCAAACTTTGCATAGTTAGAAAGAGCTGGTAAAAAAACCTACAATACTGGGTGCTCCGATTTCTGTTGCAAGTCTCTGATTTTTTATGACCCTACACAGAAAATTCGAATTTTGACTAATTCTCTTCTATCGCTCCTATCTATGCAACAGATGGCCATTAGTAAGCAGCTAAGATGTCATCATAAAGAGCATGATTTACTCTTTCGTAAAAAAATAAAAGCAGTCAAATCGGTTAAAAAATTAGAAGTTATGATTTTTTGAAAATGGTGCGAACGAACTTTCGGGACAACCTAATAATAACCATTCTTCTGTTTAAGCTTGTTTGAATGTCCAGGATATGTTTGTTGAAGCACAGCACTCACCTTACTGATATTAACAATTCTTTGCTTCTAACATTGAATATTAAAAGTTACAACAAGATGAAGACTGTGTGATTCTAACACCAAAAGATTCGAAGCCTAACAGTATTGAATGAAAGCTGGCTGCTAGTTCTTGTGCTTACAATGAAATGGTCAAACTTGGTGTTATCAGTAGCGCTGTATAACGTCCTTGAAACGCTGATCTCAAATAAATATCCATTATTCGCGTTATCTGAAAATCATTCACTTCAAAAGTTCTACCCGTTTTTAGTGCCTCTCTTTGAACTGTCGATTTTGGAGCAATAAACCATTATTCATGAGCAATGCTTACATTATTTAGAAACTCTTTCCTTCTAGTTTTTTAAGCAAGTTTTCAATTCTATAAAGCTTTGTTCGTTCTGTGATTCCGTAACTTAAAATGACAGCAACAAACGCTATAATTTTCCTTTTTGTTCAGTTGCCTATCTGCAGCCAGAAGAGGAAATTTCTTTTGCAACATACATATATAATGTTTGTTGAGACTTGTGCTACAAAATGCTTATTAAGATATAACTTTAGGTAAATTTTGGGGCTGTAAATTTCTAGCATAAACATGACCTGTCTTTGTGGTCTGTTTATCGTATCGTAAATATCGTAAGCGTGCAATTACGGAACTTTTGCTTTGAATAGTGAGACTAGGGCATTTATTACCAGAGAAATGAAAGAAGTCCATGAATTGTTAGCTGCGAGCAAAGTCAGAAACTTCAAAAAAGTGCATTTTTTGCTCGCAAGTCCAAGGTTATCAGTGCTGCTCATTCGACTAAACAGTGTTTCTCAAAATAGATGTTCCTAAAGAAAGCGTTTAAAGATTTTCTTCTAGAAAATCTTTTGCGTTGTTGCTGCAATAAATTTTGAATATGTGCAAAATTGCTAAAGAGTTGTAGATTGTAACAGTTGTAAAATTGCCAGAGAGTTATAGACAATTTATTGCATTCGCAATCATCATTTCTAGAAAGAATTACTGCAGATCAAACTTGAACTTCAAAACAGGTGGAACTTTTGAAACAACCCAATATGTATTCGATTCCATGCAAGTCTTAATGAATGAACTTTGATAAAAGGAGCACGAGGACGCGTAATTACGGTGACTAAGATTACTGTGATTCTCAGATGAGGCACACCTACTAAAAACCTAAAAAACTGTTTTTCGAACGTTTCTTGTGGAAGAGGTTACGAAACCTGACAAAGCCACGCTTTCGAACTTTCATTGCGTCTATTAGATAGCCGCTTAGCAGATAATAAGGGTATACTGGTATTAGCGGATTAAGGCAAACGCGGTGATATACAGCTTGTTTGTTTAGCTTGACTCCCAAGTTAAGCAACCTTCTTAGTATAAAAAAAGTTAGCGATACAATATTGCGAAGGAAGTGTCTTGTATGAGGTGCTTAACCTAACGATTATATACAATAGAAGGAGAGTGGCATACTGGTATGAAGCGCCGCAGTAACCAGGTCCTAGTCAAGGATCTCGTTTTTTAACCAAGCCTCTACCTCCAGAGAAAAACTGGCAGTGTTCAAGAGGATTGAGCACTGTCTTAATAACCGTCAGACCTGCAAGTCATTGTAGAGGTTTGCACAAATTGAACTGCCTCTTTGAAGTAGAATGCATTCGGCGCATTTCCACCAAGATTGAGGAAGCTCATCTTTTATCCCTTCTTCACTATACCCATAGACGTAACAGGGGAATTTCTTACGTAGGCGAGTCGCACTCAGAGCAAATCGTCATTGCAGACGCTGTCGGCGTCTCTCACAAGCGCATATCTTCCCTCTCACCGCCTGCCATCTCTTTCAAACAAAAACTGTCGTAGGCGGCCGCTACGGTGTTCAAGCGAAGAATTGGCTGCAATTGGCAATTTGCATGCACCTGCTGTTTGAAGAGCGTAACGGCAGCGTCATGTTTTGCAGGGGGAACGGAACTTACATACCTCAAAAGGCTTGCTGCCACGAAGTTAGCAGAGTTCATGAAAGGTCGTGATCTGGCAGCAACGCTATTTGCACCCGATTTGCACCGAAGAAGAGCTGATTCTGCACACGGTAACTCTGCCATCATCCTAAAGCACATGAAACAGGGATTTTGTCGGAACTCGAATTCAAAGTTCAGTATAAAATTAGTCGAATCAGGAAAACTTGTATTTAGGAGTGTTCTGTCAGGCTGTTTAGGAATAGCTTGAAACTTTGATCTTCATTTTGAAACCAAGATTTGTTTTCACTTTTCGCAGAACTTCAAGCTTTCATGATTCATTTCAATTTCTTTGTCAAGGCTGATTTCAAGCGAAACGCCAGCATTTTGCGGAAACAGCACGTCATAAAACCTTCAAACATCAGCCTTACCAACTGCAATAATTTTATTAAAAAATCAGTAATTCAAAAGAAGAAAATGTTCCAAGCAACCGTTGGCTTATTCGGAAGCAGCATGAGACAACACCTCTTTAGCAACTTTGGAATTTTTGCCGGAAATTCTGTGAAAACTAGCATCTGAAAGAAGAATTTTCAAGGTTTTAAGCAAAACACTATTATATTTAGAAACAGCATGATAGAATACCCTAAATTTAGTTTTTCACCCTATTAAACTAACTTTTCCATTAAACTTTGATCGAATTTCGATAAAATCCCGGTCTCATGTAGTGTAGGATGATGGCGTAGTTACTGTGTGCAAGATCAGCTCTTCTTCGGTGCAAATTGAGTGCAAATCGGTGTTGGTGCTATTCATGACGTCTCATAAACTCTACTAACTACGTGGCAGCAAGGCCTTTCGGGATATAAGTTCCCTCACCCGCCTTGCAGGGATGTCGACGCTTGTAAGACTGCGGCATACACTCAGGCAAGAGCTTTTAGCTTCTGCATGCTTCATTTGCTATGCAGCAGTTGCTTTTTAAAGAGAATCCTCACGAATTGCCGCAACAGTTAATTGAAGCGTTTTACTTAGAACTTTCGAGATAAAGCATCCCGAGGGAGTTTCAGGGGGTGCTTTCTGCGGGGACATTACCTAACCATTACATTACTAACATTACAAACTCCCGTTCTGCCTGCCATTCATCTCTGATGAGTTGAGCAGCACAGTGCGGCGATGCGTACATCAGGCGGGTTTGAAAAGCGTTGTCAGGGTAGTCGATATCCCCCCCCCCCTCCGCAAATCTCAAGCAGCGATTGGTTCGAAACCGTGCTTACGTTCGCTTCCGTCCAACTCCTGATTGCGTGATTTGCCCGTTTGGTAAGGAGGACAGTTGCATGCTAACCGGTATTGTATATCTCATCACATGTTTAGCATGCGTGGATACATACATTGGTGAAACGGGCCGCCCTATCTGCTGTCGCGTTATGGCTGCGTTCATACTGATTACTAAATCCGGGAACAGTCCCAGCACAACGCTCACTTTGAACGCTGTGCTGGAACTGTTCCCGATCTTTGGGATCAGCATGAACGCAGCCTATAGAGCATTTGAACGATTTAAATAAATTGAAAGCAGCCACTCCTTTAGGAAAGCATCGTATAGTGCGCCATAATAAAGCTGCAATATAAGTTGCGGTGCGAATCTTGTCGTTCGAGCCCGAGATTCTAGCACGCAGAACGTTGGAAGCGTTTTGGATAAACACCAAAAATCCAAAAATGAATAGAAAGGAGGAGTGTATCGCTCAGTAAAGAACTGCGCCATATGAATCCCTATGCGGATTCGAATATGAGGTCAGCTCACGGCATATATAGGTAGAGCTGAGGCATATGCGGATTCGAATATGAGGTCAGCTCACGGCATATATAAGTAGAGCTGAGGCATAGTCTTGCATACATGGCGGTTTTCCGACTTCCGTTTTTGCTTCTGGCTAAGGTTGGTGCTGCTCTTGTTACTCTCATTACGTTTTCATTGGCTTTTCACGAGTAGTACTTTGATGCTTTTGTTGATGTCTGAGGAATTAGATGCCTAATGACTTCGGCTTCCAGGCTCTGACGAAGGCGACAGCGCCGAAACGTAGGCCATTGTATCATAGTAAACAGTGTTACCATCTTGGTCGACTACCCAAATCACACATCCATCTGACATTGCTAACCGCCAACGGTGGCATGTGAAAGCTTTGTCACTCATGACTGCTTATGCTGACGAACGTGCGCTACATGCTATTGCGAGAGGTTAACGATATCAAGAAACGTCCGCCGCAGTGTGTGCGCAACCAAGCATCACAGACACGCCTTATCTCAAAAAAAAAAAGCTTCCAGAAGATTGTAGCTGCAGCCTAGCGCATGCTGACCGTCACAATTTGAGCGGTTGCACATCAGTCCCATGAATATTTGACTCAGCCACTTTTAAAGCCACTTCGCCTGAAAAAAGTAGAAAGTGTAATGTAATCTAAACCAAATTTGGCATACATAATGTATAGGATAAGATGTGTGTTTAAAAGAGTTAGCTCTCGTATTATTTCATCGTAAGTTTATTTGCTGAAACCAAATGTAACTATGTCACCCCGGCTTTCAAGACCGTCCTCAACTCAAAGTTAACTATGGTCCGAGATGAGCAGAGCTCCCAGGTGGGGGAGGGGGCAAAAATGTTTTCAGATAAAGTGCGCCACGCGCCTTGAAAAATTTTTTGGGTGTTCTCAAAATTTCTGAGGGCCCATAACTCCTAAACCGCAAAAAAATTTTCACAAGGCTAATTTGAATTTGTAAAAAATTTTCAAAAATTATTTCAATTATTTACAAGAATGAAAGAGTCACTTGCACATTGATTTAGTATTTCAAAAAGAAAAAGACCTTCATTACCCTCTATATGGGCTTCCGAAAAGCTCATCCTGAATATAAATTCACACTTGGCGGCTCGTTTTTGCAACGCGCTCAAGTGATTCTGGACTTAGGCCTTGATATTCAAGCACATTTGATTTCTATGATTACATATCTGAGGTTAGGTCAAAGGCGAGGTGTCAGTTTAATTACTCTTAAATGCAAAACATCATAGAAGATACTCTTAAATGTTTCAGAAGCCGAGATCCTTTCCAGACTTGTTTCCACCCACGTCATACCACTTGAATATTGCTCACCACTTTGATCTTCCCGATACAGGAGTTTTATGGAAGATATAAAAAAGGTGAATTATTTACTTGTAAGATTTTTTGCTCGGAAGAGTATTTTTGGGTTATCATATCCTGCCAGTCTAAAGAAACTTCAAGCATTTACCTTAGAAGATAGAAAATTTCTTGCCGACCTTTCCTTAATGTACAAGCTTACAACAAATGAAATGAACTTGATCTCTATTTGTACGATATTTTCAAGCAAACATATTGTACAAACTACGGGGGTCGCGAACGTCTTTGGACTTTCCCATTCTTAACCACTGTCCAGGTCATCTGCGAGGTGGTGAGATTTTGACGCAGTGCGGGTGCACGGCTCTCGACTGGTGCAACAGTTCAAGTCGGATTGAAAAAGGTGGATTCTGAAGCGAGAAAACCGCTCCGAACATTGCTTTGGAAAAAGGGGCGTTCCGCCAATCTCGCCTCCTTGACTGCTTTTGACGTGGTTATAACATTAGATCTACAATATTCGCTCAAAACTAGTCAAAGAGGCGGGATTAGCGGAACACCCCTATTTCCAAAGCAATTTTCAGAGCGATTTTTTCGCTTCGGAATCCACCTTTTTTGATGGGACCTGAACCTTTGCATCAGTAGAAGCCATGTACCTGCACTGCGTCAAACGCCCTCCCCCCTCCCAGATGACCTGGACAATGCCTTCAATCAACACTCTCTGAACCCTCTGCCATGCTCAGGCATGAAAAAATGATGTCGCTTAGGATTTGAGAAGCTCGAGAGTGTCGCTGCCAAGAAAAAGAAAAGTTATCTATTTCAAACGTATTCTTAGCAATTTTATTACAGGACGGTTCTAAGATTGGTGCGTCATGTCTTGAACAGCCGGATCTTACATAATTTACAATATTCAGAATAATCAAGTTAAAATCAAAACAAAATCGGACGTAATCAATTTGGAGTCGAGCTCTTTTGCCTCGCACACCTCCCAATTAAAACGGCTTACCCACTCCCCTCGGTTGAAAAGAGGCCGCTGGCTACGAAAATTTCAGCTTGAACGTATAAAAGCTTTCTTGAACAGAGTCGTTTGGTTGGAGTCTGGTACTCAAAAACCAGAGATCTGTGCACTTGTACTTATGAATTAAAGCGGGCCTTATGCTGGTGGATCATGCACACCCTGTACCATGAGTTTTACATGCGTGTTTTAGCACGTTTTATGAAGATGAAGATAAAATATGAAATTGAAGTTAGTAACATTGAAAGCTTGCTTTATCCTTCAGTGCTTTCTGCATCTATCAATCTCATATTTATCTCTTCATCTTCGCAATATTGATCTAATTTAACGGTTGCCATAGGTAGCAGTTTGAAACAGAACCATTCATGACAAAATTGCGCTTTGGAAGAAAGCAGCCTACAAGTTTTTGATTACGGAACTTTTTCAAGAGTAATAGCAAGAAAAAGAAGCAAAAGCAAAGATTTCCATTTTTTGCGGAATAAATGTGATACCTTTCTCAACAGCGGATTTTTCTTTCTCATTGTGCGCATCAGGATTATCCGCTATGTAGCAATATGTGTGATCACTCTTCGTACTTTCGCTATGCACGCGTGGCAGTTCATTCTCATAAGTCGAAGTTATGTAGTTTTTGTCCAAAGTGGAAGCCATCGTGGAGATCCTAAAAATTCATTGGACAATTTTCTTTTTCAAATACTGTTGATGTCAGTGATGGCACATATACTCAACGGGATTGCTGACATATGGATTCGACTTATTCTCTGCATTATCTTTCATGCAGATAATCTTGTAGTCAAGGGTGCGTAGTGGAAGCCGATTCTCCACCTACCTTCAGTTTTGAGCTGGTACAAGGTTTGAACTATTTTGCTGAAGATAAAAAAAGGAAAATGAGCAAACGAATGCAAGAGAATATTGAAAGCATATTTCTAAGTAGTTCACTCTTAAGAACTCGCCGTCACCTACTGCGGGCACCCGAAGGCCGTCCCGACATGGACACGTCTACGCCTCAGCACTCTTTACGATTCTAGAGAATAAAAGCTAAGCTTCATGATAAATTCGGATAATTGAAGGACTCTAACCCAACGGTCTTTTTTAGGGCCAATAACTGTGTCCCAACGCCCTCTTGAAAGCCACACAATGAGTACAACGGCATAAATATTTCAAATAATCTGTAAATTAAATGGTGTATTTGTAAGTGAACCTCAGCTAGACTTTATGAAATTTACCAAGAAAATTTTGTTATAACGTAATGCGAAGAAATTAGGTCGATCCAGGCAGTAACCTTAGGGAACCAGGATTTCGAATGATAAAATAACGAAAAATCATGCGAGATTTTTACTGTTATAAATCTGGTGTCTGGAGATGTCAGCAATTGCGAGTTTATGGGGTTTGAAGGGTAAGTGTCGTTCTACAGACGGTGAAAGAATCAGGTCGATTTGTGGATATTTTTCTTCAGTCCCCCCTCCCCGTCTACGTTTTTGGGAGGTGAGTGTTCGGCACTACCACCTTCACTTTTGGCGGCTAGTGGTAGCTGGGACCATCTTCACTTTTGAGGGGATCGGCTCCCTTCACCGCACCTTCGCTTGCAGTTACTTGTCAAGCTTTTAGCACAACTATTATATCAAACTAGATGGCTTACCCGGCTCCGCCTGTGTACGTATGTTCCGAATAGAAATTATGATTTCTGAACGGATCGGGGAAAAGTAGCCTATGACACCCGCCCTGCCCCGAAGTATATATGTGCAAAGTTTGGTCCCGATCGGTTCAGAAATAAAAATTTCTATTCGGAGCATACGTACTACACACACAGACAGACAGACATACAGACAGACAAACAGACATTCAGCTTTATATATAAGATGTCGGTTTTCACACTTTGTGGAAACTCTGTTATCAATGTATGCAAAGCAAAGTGAAAGGACGTAATTAATCTTATATTAGGTCGTTTCATAAGTTCGTCGACTTTTTATTTTTGTCGCCGTTTTTCGATGAAGCGGTTGGTTTACGGCAAAGTGCCTAACCAATGAAAAGAGAAAATCTTGCTCTGAAAGAACTCTTGTTCGTTTTTGGAGCGAACTTGAATCCCCTTCTTTTACGACTTATCAAAGCAAAATTTTTTGAGAGGCAAAAATTGGCGATTGCGGCAAATGCACTTTCCGCATTTGGTCCGTATTCCTCAAGATGTTTCTGTCATAGTTAGGCGGAATGGATAGTAGCAAGCAAGACTGAAACACTGAATAATTTGCAGCATGCCAATATGCATAGAACCGTTTGAACAAGGTCCCAATGGTTGTTGTCTTTGACTGCTGCCGCTTGAGTTTGGCGCGTTGTTCAGCGACACAATGTGTCGGTCCTCCTATCGGAACTTGAGGAACGGATGCGTTTTTCTAAGTGGTGTAGATGTATGAGTACAAGCTTTGACCAACATTTTACCCTTTCTCAAAAAATTTTTTGACGTGGGAACTTCTTCAAATTGGGCCAAACGCAAAACATCTACACACATGGTAAACGTGCGCTTAATCTTTCTTTATAGCCTCTCTTTGGATATGGAGACTACTTTTATATGCACCGTAGTACCACAAACAGTTGTTTCTCATCACTCATAACAATTTCAGACGAAAAATTCCCACTTGTGGCTCCGTATACAGATCGAAAGTTGCGGTTGCCGCAATCGCCAATTTTTGCCTCTCAAAAAATTTTGCTTTGATAAGTCGTAAAAGAAGGGGGTTCAAGTTTGCTCCAAAAACGACAACAGTTCTTGTAGAGCAAGATTTTCTCTTTTTCATTGGTACAGGTACTTTGCCGTAAACCAACCGCTTCATCGAAAAACGGCGACAAAATTAAAAAGTCGACGAATTTGTGAAACGACCTAATATATAAAGATGAATGTGTGTCTGTCTGTATGTATGTCTGTATGTGTGTACGTATGTGCGGAATAGAAATTTTTATTTCTGAGCCAATTTGGACCAAACTTGGCACACATATACTTCGGGGCAGGGAGCGTCATAGGCTACTTTTCGTTAACAATCGATATCGATTTTATCGGTTTCACCGATTCTTTTGCAGAGATCACCTACGGGGCTGGGAGTTGGCAGAGGGGGGCAAGTGGGCATGGGGATTCCGAATACAATATTAGTTTCTAAAATTATCGATTACTTTCGATTTTATTGATTTTTGCAAAGTTTGAGCTACAGGGCTGGGAGTTGGCGCAGGGGGGTAAGTGGGCATGCTGATTTCGAAAACAACACAGGGAACGGGAAATGAAGTGTAGAAGTGGGCACAGGGAAAACTGTACAAGGATAGGGATGAGACTTTTACAGTGTTTTGAAAGCCCCGAGCGGAGCCGCGTAAGCAAGCTAAATATAATATCCCATTCATGACGGTCGAGTGTGGCAATTCTTCTAGAAAGAGCGGGTTTGCAGTAAAAAGGCTTAATAGTAACGTGTGCTGTCTAGCAAATGAAAAGGTCAATACTAGGTCAAGGGTCAGTGTTGCATGTAAGCAGTGTGAATGAAGGAAGGTGAAATCAGAAAGATGATGAGTCCATCATGTAAAAAAGGATTGTAACGCATTAGCAAATTAAGCAACTGATAAGAAAACTGAAGAAGCAATGTTCTAGGATTATTTGCATGCTTGCCACTTTTGCCTTGTGTAATCAAGAGCTGCTTTCTGCTTGTCACTCGTGATAAGCAAAGTACAACACCGCTTATAATTTGTAAAAAAACGTGGCGTCAGTTTCACTTCGTCGCTGGAAGCGAGTTTCAGAGTGTCTCGCGTGTTAAACTCAAGCTAGCCGTACTGGTTTCAAGTAAATCTTCGAATCATTCTACTTAGCATGCATTTTTGGCAAGCTGGTATTGTATCAACAAGCATACCACAAAAAGGTAATTCCCGAGACTCATTGTCAGCTAGAAATGCAGAGAGGGTTACAAAAGTTCTAACAACAGCTGCTAAATTGATTTGCTGCTGTCGGCACAGGGCAGGGTAGGGTACGATAAGAAGCGTTTCATGCGTGGTTTTTCAAATTTATGTACACGCTCTTTCTTTATACCCAAAAAACGTAAAGAGCTGTGTTTACAGTCATGCTTTCGAAGGTTATACTATGCAGTGTCAGGTTCAAAGAAATCAATAATGCTAAAGGTAAAACAACTTTTCCGTTATCGCTTTTCTCACTAAGCGGGAGAGATTTGCAGAACTGTGTATATAAGTAACTATTTCTCTATCATATGATGACCACTGAAAATTTCACAAAGGTTTTTCCCGACTTAACCTGACTAAATGCTCACAGAATCCAGTTTTGAATCATAGATCTCTGGTGATCATTTTGTAGAGCTTGCTTCGTTCTAATGGAGATTATCGCAATGCACAGTATCCCAACACTATATTCACAGGGGTATAGTGGTTATGGCCCGGCAGATATTTGAACACGGTGAAAAACTTGTTGAAAATCCTATCTAGAGAATTAGTTTTCTCTTTATCTTATATATTAGGTCATTCCGAAAGTAATTTCGCTTTTTTCAAACGGACGCCACATGTGACGGAACAAAGATTTCTAAAAGATCTTGGAAGCATTCGATGCAGAATTTCGTCCTCTTTCTAAAGATTATGAAATCATTGCAGCATAATCAATGAGCTTTCAGAAAATAACCAAAATCTGCGACCCATGCTTTTTAAGATGGTCAAGTTTCACAATTTTTTAAAACTTTCAAATCAATCCTCAGAAAAAGTTCAAGTAACGGTTCGATAGAACAAACCTTATAGAATACAGCACTTCTTTTTTCTCTTCCTCGTAGCTCGCCGTAATATTTTTTAGATTTTTAAACAGAACTATCGGATTTTGGCAGGCCCACCTCAGCCACAATCGCATCAAACATCGTAATTTTTCGGAATTTGAGTCTACCAAGACGGTACTACGTGTTAGCAATAATTTTACAAAGCAAATGAGGGTTTACGGGTCCGAAATATTAAAATTCGAGTTTTTCGGGTACAGCCTGGGGCTCTCTAAAAAAAAGAGTTATGATGATTTCTCCCCGGAAACTAAACGAATCGGGAACAAAAACACCTGTTAGAAAGAGGAGAAAATGCTGCATCGAATAGTGCGCGAGCTGCCTTTCTTTTGATGTTCTACGAGGATTTAGCTGCTTAAGTATGGAAATCGGTAGCATCAGTTAAAATTGTGTTAAAAATGTATGACAAGCTACGGAAAGGAGAAAAAAGTAGTACTGTATCCTATAGGGTTTACTCTATCGAAATGTTACTTGAACTCCTTCTGAGGATTGACATGAAAATTTTAAAAAATCGTGAAACTTGACCATCTCAAAAAGCATGGGTCGCAGATTTTGGTCATTTTCTGAAAGCTCATTGACTATGCTGCAATGATTTCATAATCTTTAGAAAGAGGACGAAATTCTGCATCGAATGCATCCAAGATCTCTTAGAAACCTTTGTTCCATCAAATGTGGCGCCCATTTGAAGAAAGCGAAATTACTTTCGGAATGGCCTAATATAAAGCTGAATGTGTGTCTGTCTGTATGTATGTCTGTATGTACGTTGCGGAATAGAAATTTTTATTTCTGAACCAATTTGGACCAAACTTGGCACACGTGTACTTCGGGGCAAGGAGCGTGTCATAGGCTATTTCTGTACTTCGGGGCAAGGAGCGTGTCATAGGCTATTTTTCGTTATCAATCGATATCGCTTTTATCGGTTTTATCGATTCTTTCAGAGATCACCTACGGAGCTGGGAGTTGGCACAGGGGGGGGGGGGTAAGTGAGCATGGCGATTCCAAATACAATATTAGATTTCAGGATTATCGATCACTTTTGTCGGTTTTATCGATTTTTTGCAAAGTTTGAGCTACAGGGCTGGGGGTTGGCACAGGAGGGTAAATGAGCCTGCTGATTACGAATACAATATCAGTTTTTGGTATCATTTATCACTTTCATCGATTTTATCGATTTTTGCAAAGTTTGAGCTACAGGGCTGGGAGCTGGCCCAAGGGTTAAGGGGGCATGCTAATTTCGAATACAACACAGGGAACGGGAAATGAATTGTAGAAGTGGGCACAGGGAAAGGCTGTACAGGGATAGGGATGGGACCTTTATAACATTGTTTTGACAGGGCCGAGAGGAGCCGGGTAAGCAAGCTAGTTAGAAGAGTGGCCGCGCATACGTTGGCAAACGTCTGCAATGTCGCCTGCTATAGAGCGGGAATCAACCATAACATAGCTGTGGACATATTTTTGCACTAACCTAGTAGTTGTACGCCATAGTAAATGAGTTCTCTTTGAACTGTGCGTAGAGACCTGTGTAGTGGACGTGTCCGCTAATTGCATGTTTTTCATTTCATTTTATTTTCCACAAAGCTGTTCTTGCACGCGGAAGATTCAGTATTACCATACTCACCAACAACTTACGCCTGTATGATCTGTCGTCCCCATCATTAGCCTATGCGCCAAGTGCACTACTGGACCAGCACTAGCAGCCGCTTTTCAAAGTTTACGGCTCAATTTCTTCAACTATGTCTTGCCTTACGATGGTACTCTAACTAAGATAATAGGGACTCTGCCGCTAGCTTTCACCCAATGCAAAGCGCGGAAGTTCCGCAAACACAGAAGCGACTCGAACTTGAAGGTCTCTGCAGTCATTCCTGTTAGCAACTATTCATTCGTGATTTCTGAGAATTTACGCAGTTTAAAAGCGTATTTTGTAACGATCGTTTGTCGGGACGCAGCTAGCTACAACAGCTGCTCGAGAAGGGGTTTGGCCGAAGACAGCCAACCTCTGGCAGTGACCTCCGCCCGCCGGCAGGAGTCGGTGCCCTCTTCCCCCTTTCCCTTTCCCTTTCTGTATATAACTATGTATGATAAATATTATAGTAAAGACCTATATAAACCCGCTACACATCAGGTAAGGGCGTCATGAACCCTTAGACCTGACATGGAAGTCCCGGGAAGATTTTTTTTATTCTGAACTATAGTCAAAATTTCTGCTCCAAAAAAAAAGATTTCCCACCCCTCGACATCCTCGACAACAACTTTCACCCAAGTCAAGCGAACGAATGTGTGAGTGTTTTTTTATTTATCTGATAGTAATGACGACTAATACTGTGCTGTGATTATAAAAATTCTTCTTCCTTTTCTTGAAAAAAAAAATAACATTTTAGAAAAAAGGTACCGAAAGAAAAATTGCATTCATAAATGTGGTGATGGTCTTTGATTGGGGAACGGAATTTATCTACCCAGAGGTACGCCGCCATGTAATTAGCAGGGGACATGAGAGGTCTGAACTGTTAGCAAGCTAATTTGCACCCATTTTGCACCGAGGACAAGCATATTTCGCTCACGACAGATACGACATCATCCTACAACACATACGAAACCGGGATTCCATTGAAAATTTGAATTCAATGTTCAGTAATGAAATTAGTCTAACTGAGGTAAAAATTTGAATCTAGGGGTAATCTGCCATGATGGTTCCAAATATGGTGGTGATTTTGCGTGAAAATAAAACCGAGTTTCGTGAAGGGATTAAAACCAATGTTCAGTGGCGATATTTGGCAAATCAGAATAAAAACTTGGATTTGGGGGTTTCTAAGGGCACTCTTTACGAATATTCTTTACGAATTCTAGTCTTTCTGATAGCATTCTTTTTCATTTGTTCTCCAGTTTTATCAAAGTTGCAGTGAAATTTATGAAATATCAAAATTCCAAAAGAAAAGGCTTTTGAACTTTCCGGCAAAAACATTAGCATATTCGAAAACAGCATCATGGAAAACGCTCAAATTTTACGCTTTTTGCCAGATTTTGAAAAAGATCAAAATTCAAAAGAAAAACTTGAGTTTTTACGCAAAATCACTATCATATTTGGAATCGTATGACAGATAACCCTAAATACAAATTTTACCCTAGTTGAACTAATTTCACTGCTGAACTTTGAATTCAAATTCAATGAAATTCCGATTTCGTACACAGTAAGATGATGTCGTATCTGTCGTGAGCAAAATCTGCTTGTCTTCGGTGCAAATTGGGTTCAAATTAAAGTTGCTGACAGTTGATGACCTCTCATGTCCCCTGCTAATTACATGGCGTCATGCCTTTCTGGGTAGATAAATTCCCGCACCCTCTTCGATTGAGTTAATCTCAAAGTTACCATATCACCGAATATACTCATGATCTTTGACTGGATTATATCATAGATACATCCTACTGTAGTCCAGCGAGCAGTCCCATTTGTCCCCAATTTTTTTTGAGTAATGATGCATCATTTAGCTCTCTATATATCTTACCATGAAGCGCAAAATTAATATTTAGCAATTATATGTAAGTGACTGGAAAAAATGTAAATTTTTCTCTATAAACAGTTCCGCATGATCATAACTGAGCCAAATCTGTGTATTTTCAAAATCCCTTTGCAAAACTGAATTCTACAAGTAAAATTCATTCTTCTGCGGTCTTTTCGTATATCTGAACTTTTGCTCTAATTCACGTTTGTCTTCAGGATGTTTTCACGTATTTCCGTAATTTCTAGAGTATTGCGAATTTATTGCATCGGCTTTTTAGATCACAAACGCATTTTCTTTTTAATTTTAGACATGGACTTGCTCGTTCGTAGCTACAGTACAAAATCTGCAGTATAACTCGTCCGGAAAGATAGTATTTGCCGACGTATCGCATACCCGGCTATTACAAATGGCCTAGAGCTCCAAATCTTTTATGCTAATCCGTTCCAGCAACTGTCTGCGCGCGTTCAAAATAGCAGTAAATCTGGTGACAATTGTAGAAGCTAGCAGCTGCTGACCCTAGGGCCTGACAAATATACCTATGCGCCTGTTGAATATTCGGATGAACTTTACACACTATTGATTTACGGCTCATCTGTCTTCCGATGCCGAGAAGTCGTGCAGCAACAGCGACAGCCGTGATCAGCATCTTATTCATCGCCAAGCTCAATCAGATTGATATCCTACGTCGCGATAAGGTGTAGTCAGCAAATTCAAGGTTTTGGCTGAAAAAAAAACTTTTTTTAGAAACAGACAAAACATTTTTCTCATTGTAATGCAAGACATCTTTTTCTTCCGACAATTCGTATGCATTCTAAAAGAAAAAAAAGAATCCTTCTGAATCAGAACTCTAAGTTCCATTGGTGCTATTATTCTTTTCAGATTTTGGTAAAACAGTTTTCGCCTAAGCAAAGATAATCTAAAATAAACTCTCAGGCATAATTTCAAAAATCAACATCATTTTTTTCAGCCAAAATTTTGCCAAGTTTTCCTACTTTTGTCACCGATAGGTCTAATACAGATCTGTAGTGATTTGCAAATAATCACTAAAAAAACTTTCATCTGTTGTGACAGAACATGATTCAAGTAAATGAGATTGAAAAAACCTAAATGCTGCTTAAATTCGTTGAGAGCACGAACATTTTCGATCCGAAAGGAAGTCGCTTATTTTCTCAAAAAAAGCGCTTTTGCGGACATGAAATTGCTGTGGTAGCATTGAATTAACCTTCAACAAAAGATACAAAGATACGATTGCAATGGAAAAAGGATATTGAGATGCTCATACTTCTGAAACATCGCTGTTAGAGCATGTTTCATTACCTCTTATTATCTGCATGGATACTTTTAAATTGAGCTTTTTCCACAAGCCAGTCTGAACGTTTGTTGGAAAAAAGTCAATTCTTTTCGCCCATCAAAGAAGGTAGATTATTTATTTAGATATTGTGATTTTCTTCAGTGAGAACCAGTTTTCGTAAACTGCACTGCTAATCATGATTATCAGAAATAATAACTACATGCTTTTTCCTGGTGCATCACTGTCTAAATGCTGTCTACCTCGATCATAAGGGACAGTCAGTCACTGCAACCAGATGAAACGCCGCAACTGTAGATTGTGTAAAAAAAGCTAAGCAATTACTCGTATTTTGAACCTTAGGTCCGTGCGCTTACACAAAACCAACCATGCTCTAAGGTGCCCCATAAGTGAGAATATCGCGCAGGTTAAGGCAGCGGTAGAGGAAACTAAGACTAAGAGAATGGCTATAGTAGAATATTTCAAAGCGATTACTTCTTAATAAATCATCGTGGTGAACAGTAAACATTAGTTTTTATGATGAAGGCCAAAAGTGCTTATTTCTAGTTTCTTGACAACTTTGAGAAAATTTTCAAAAGGTTCTCAATATGTTTTTTTCCTTGAGTTTTTTAAATGTGATGCCACTCATCTTACCCAAACACTGATCAAAGTGAAAAGTAATTGGAGATTGTCTGCTGAGCGAATCTGACAGAGAAAAACTACTGAAAAATTCCATCTGGAGAACCAGTTGAAATCCATTCCCACTCACTCGAAGCTTAGTCTCTCACTTTCCGTATCAAGATTCAAGATTCTGAATTAGCTTCACTCATGTCACTTGGTTATCTATGAATTGTTCAAAGCAGATCAGCCTATTGAAAAAAATGTAGGTAATCTCGATTTTTTCTTATTTTTCACCAAAATTGAATTGTCCACTTTCCCGTCTATGTCAGATAGATTTCTAAAGATATAATAATCGAACTCTTAGTGTAAAATCAGAAACTATATTTTGCAAGCCCAATAAAATAAAGTTGAAATCATCAAATAGTTTCGGTATTCAAAGGAAAAAAATTTTTTAGGGGTCATTTAGCTCTGATTTGTAGACACACGGCATAAGACTGAAGAGATGCTTTCAAGCACGATAACGATGAGTAAAGTTGTTTCGTAGCATATTTCATACTTTTTAATAGGAAAGCAGACTGAAACATAATCCAAAAAATGTCGCTTTATGGCCTTTTGTTTGCGGAGAAAATTATGGATTGTTCATGCCATCACGAGGTGCATTTAAAGGAGTTATCTTATACAAAGAGACTATTTTGATCCTGACTGCATACAACTAATTCGGGAAGCCCTGATCAAGTAAGTACGTATAGCTATGCTTCAGCAAGTGACGGTCAGGACTCTGTAGAAAAACACAAGGAGAGACTGAGCACAAAACCTGAGCTGATTTTTGTCTTGTTCAAAGGTTATCTATTTGAATTACGGGACTGAAATTTTTCTCCACAGCATGTGTGCGTTCTCTTTTGTAGAAGATTTTTTTTCTCAGATTTCCTTGGCCACAATTCTCTATTTTAGTTTGAAATAATAGCCATGCGATAATGAAGTCCCTAGTAAACGGCGTGCCTGGAAAACTGGCAATATTCAGCAACTTGCCTGCCAAACAAGTTTGCACAAGTTTGCAAGAAATATGCGCTGCGTCCCTAATCTAAGGTGTCAGGTGTCATTAAACAGTACATTTTCTTGAGCTAATTCTTTTATGCGCGATCGTTTTATTGAAATGATATCTAACTATATGCAAATAATAATACAATTTCAAAATTATAAAATATTAATATAATTTGAAAAAGTCCCGCGAACAGTCCCAAAGGTCGAAATAAATTTTCCCAAATCTAGATTCAATTATAATTCCTGAAATAAACTAATCCGTGACAACCGAGAT